CCAGATGGGTCTCGAACCCGCGGGCTCAGGCAATCCACTCACCTCAGCCTCCCAAAGGTGCGGGATTACAGGCTGAGCCACCGAGCCCGGCTAGAAATCATTTCTAGTATATAAACAGTAACATTAAATTACTGAAAACTCACAAGAGGCAAAAGCAAGCAAAACTCTGCTTCACAAAAGATGATTAAACTAGGAAAGAAACAAAAATAATCAAGTCTGTGATCACCTCTGGGTACAGAAGGAAGGTAAGATACCAGAACTGGCCAAGGCCTGTTTATTCTCCTGGATGATGAGTCCATGGAGGGTTATGTTCTTAGTTTTTAAATGACATAAAAAAAAATTTCAAGATTCTCTTTGCTTCTACAGATCATATAACAAAATCCACTCAGATTCTCAAGTAAGAAAATAACAACTCTGAAGTCAAATTATAAATAAAATTTTGTAAGCCTGAGGAGGCCAGTGGCACCCATGTTGCCTTCTGAGCATGTGCTCACCACCTACAGGATGCCCGGGTGATCAGGAGGGAAGCAGGGTGAGTGGGTGCATTGGGAGCTGACTGGGGGTGATGGGAGATGAGCAATGGGCTGGTGAGGGATAGTAATGGGGGGGCAGGAAACTGGGGGGTGAAGGATGGGTGACAGTGAGCGGAGTGGGTGAGGGGACCACAATGGGCTTGCTGCAAGGTGGCCTAGTATTAAAAAAAATCTTTACTACTGGGCAAACAAATTAGATGGCAACAAGATTTTATAACAAAAACTAAAGGGAAACAGCTCAGGGAAGCAGCCTGTTTCACTCATTGTTCACAAAGAACCCCACACTTTGTAGGTTGAACTCCTCCCCAAGCTTGGGGACCACTCTCAAGGTGGATTTGTAGCCAAGGGTGGCCCACGTCTGGGTAGTGGTTGAAAGAAACCCAAACACCTGGGAAATTTAATTCTGAGAGCTCAAACAACCCTGATCCCTTTCTCACAGGATTAAAGCACTCTCTTCTCCAAGGTCTCAATTTTCAACAGTGAGAAAACCCACCTGTAGTCAGTTTAAGGTTGTGACTTGTGATATCTTTTTCCTGACAGCAAAAGTATAAAGTTTATTGAACACCAACCAATTCTTTAATATGAACTAGTTGCCTAATAATTTGATAGAACTCCTCAGTGTACTCAGCAAAACATTTTACTTAAATGTACAAGTTTACTATAAGGGATACAACTCAGGAACAACCCAGTGAGATGTAAAATGCAAAGGAAAAAGGAGGGGAAGATTGGGCAGGCAGGTAATACTGGTGAACAGAAGTAAATAATGAAATCCCCCATCCTTTGCGTTCTCAAGAACAGTTTGCTGCAGAGAAACCCCCTTTCCATTATGATTTCAATTGTGCTCTTGTTTACAGATCATAAATTCAGCCATAAACTTTGTAAGTTCTCAAGTTTTTGCCACATAAACAATTAGATGAACAGTTTGGTTTTCAGTGATCAGAACAAAATATTTGTTAGCAAAACTTTGCTTAAGTTTGTCTCCTTTCTCCAGGCCCTGGAACACTAACCCACTCTCATGCAACCCTCTTTATGCCCCTTCTAAGAACAGGCTGACTTCAGGGTGAAACATTCTCTGATCTGGGATCTGATTTTGCCACTCTCCATCCTGCCCTCCCCTCCCACCTTCTTTCTAATCTTGTTTGTTTCACTCCATAACCTTGTCTGCCTAACCTCTGAGATGCTTGAAGACCTTATGCTGGTTCTATCTCTCTATTTCAATATTCCTTTAGAATTGTCATTTTTAACCTAAAATTTAACTTATTTGAGAATCTCAGAAATAGCCCCAGTACAATAACAATCACATCCTCAGAAAAGACACCACATCCCCACTTCCCAATCCCAATCACACTTGCCTGTGGAACCCCAGCTTTCTAGGGCTCTGTAGATTTGTTCAGTATAAAAGCACCTTCACTGGCTGATGTAAAAAGATTGGGACACCTGCAGGAGAGGCTCCCCAGGAAGAGCTAACTGGACTTCCTATGACCTCCTTTTGCAGAATCAGGATCGACCCTTGCGTCATTGTCTGGGTTCACATCTCTGAATCTCAGCCAGGGTTATTGGCTGAGGTTGTTCACTTAGTTTTAAATGAGAAAGCACCCAGTGCCTAAAGAATTCAGCAAAATCACTCAAACTGTGTTTATGTTTTTAGGAGGGCAAGAAATTGTAAGGCACTTACATTTCATACCTCAACAGAAAAAGTATCTCTTCAGACAATAAACAAGTCATTTAATTATCACTTCCATGAAAACAAATCATGCTATAAATAATCACATGTGAACATTTCTAGGAGTTGCCAAATCCCATCCCATAAGATTTAGCACTAAACTCTGACAGCCAGGTAAAAGGACACAGAACTGAGTTATCTACTGTGGGGTAATTGTCTGGACATTGACTCTTTTCACTTATATCTGGCTTTTTTCTGCTCCTCCCCAAGGGAGTAGCCTCTGGACACGGCTGGTCTGCAGAATATGCATATTCCCAGTAAGAGCCATAGGGTACAGGTAATTGAGCAGAGCTGAGAACAATGTGGGCAGCACCTTTATACACTGTGACTGTAACCACCACATAGCAAGTTGAATCATTAACTTCCCCAATTATAAAACTGCTTGCGGTATTGTCCAGAGACAAGAGTTCTTACTTCACCAACTGACCCCTATCAGTGCCTCTCATAAGTTCTAATAAACCAATGTGTTCACCTATTGGATCTCCAGGTGACTTCTTTAGAACAAATAAAGAACATTACATGCAAGCTCTCTCAGATTTCGGGTTGTCTTGTTATACCCACTTTCACAAAATTTCTGCCTGCACAAGAGAGAAACTGATATTTTCATGAACATTTGTAATTCTCCAATTCATCTGCCACATTTTCTTGCAGAAGTGTATTCATTTTCCTGCAGGCATAAAGAGAAAAACATTGTATTTTTCCCAGGTATCTTTCCCAAAGCTAAGCCCTGGGATTCTGTCTGAAATTATGCTAAAATAGAGCACACTTCAGAATCTTACCACACACTGCAAAATAAAAAAAGATAAATGAGAATTTTTAACACATAAAATATGAAGCTAGATATGTAAGTTTTTCCCCTGAAATCCACCTTCTTTGCCACTTAGAAAATATATTTTTTAATATTTCAAGCTCTACAGATGAAATGTTTTACAATTAATGAAAAAATGAAGTTGAAATAAGCAAACAAATCTTTTCCAAGTGACAAACCCAGAAAAGGGGACAGTGCTGATTGGAACACAGTCATTTCTGACTCTAGGGCCACATCAGGCCATCCGATCACTGAAAGATCCTCCCAGCCCCATCCTGCTCCCTGAAGAACTTGATTATCACTTGATCTTTTACGTGTCCAATGTGCATTTTCCTTTGTAGGTTTTAATACTGCCTCACAGTGCAGAATTTTCCTTGTTTTTGAGGCAAAGTTTCTCTCCTTTTACAAGTCTCAGATAATCCAGGGGACACGATGCATTTCTGCCTTTTCCCCTCAATACCAGGATCCGACTGGCTGACCACTAATGTGTCTGCAAGAAACCTAAGCTGAGGTTACAGGAAGAAAATCATAATGCCCCAAGGGATTAGCTTTTTTAGATGAAGGGTATACCGAGAGACTCCTCTCAGCCTCAGCTGCTCCCCTGAGAGGTTCCACCCCATACCTCTGGCTGCTCTATGAGAGGAGATGACCCAGGGATTGGTATTCACTAAACATTCCAAGAGAGTGGCCGCCATAGGCATCATGAGTCATCCAATACAATAGTAAAACACAAAACCAAGAAAAGAAGACAGCTGAGGACACATCACCTTGTAAAGGTTCCAAAGGTGAACCTCAACCCAAAGACATTCTGATAAGTTTGTGTGTAACTAGGGAATATAAGAAGGAGAGGCAAAGATTTTTACAGCAGTGTCAAGTGGTTAATCCCTGATGTCCTCTCAGTGAAATGCTCAGAAACAGAAAACAAATAACTTTAAAAGGACCATCCACTGCTCTGTGGAAGAAACACAATTAAAGTACTGTCTTTTTGAAAACCAAATAAAGGACAAATAGTTGACAATGCGATTAGGACAGAAGTATTTGGCATCGGAAGTGTGGGAAAGGAACTGGAAATTTAGGATTTCCTAGAGGCCCTAACACAGGTTGTGGAAACAGAGTTGTATATTTGAGACCCTGCATGCCATACACTTGAAAAATAGGAAAACAAAAAACAAACAAACAAAAAAAAACTGAGCCCCAGTGGAGTGTTAAAACACTTAATTAGGGAGCAATTAGACTGAAGTAACTGTAGTGTCCTGGGATTTTACCTAAGAAAGCCTAACTAACTCAAGTGAGTTTGCTATAAATTACAAAGTTTAACAAGGCACAAACTGTCAGTAAAGTTCTGATTCCATAACTAGAAACTTTCAACGGGGAAAATTCAAAAAAGGCGACTACATAACTGTCACCAATCAGCTACTGAGCATGGTGTGCTTCCTCCTGCACTTTAGAAAAGTCTTTCCTTCCACCCCTCCCGTGGACCCCAAACCACAGACCACGGCTTGGAGCTTCCCATTTTATGAATCGTCGCGTGCTCAAATAAACCCTTTAACATTTTGACAGCACTTCAGTTTAATTTTTAACAACAGGAAGCAGGGACGGGGGACCCACGGACCACAGCTCCCTTCCACGCACAAGCCCTGCACACGAGTGGTTCCTCCCCGGGACCCGCTCCTCATCCTATCTGGGGGACGCAGGGCTGCCGGCGCAGAGCGGCCCAGAGAAGGCTCCCGGCGGCAGGAATCGTGCAAGGCCCGTACGAGACCTAGGGATCCCGGCTGCGGGTCGCGCCCCACCCTGCACCGGAGGGACTGAGGACCGATGGCCAAGCTTCAGGCTGGGACCCGGGTCCAGACTCCGGGGCTGTCGGGGAGGCCCGGGGTCCCCCAGACCGGTTCCGCCACCTCTCCGCGTCTCGGACGACTGTCCAGCCACTCACCATTTCCAGGCTTCCGGCTGTCTTGGCGTCCTCCCTACGGACCTGCAGGTCACAGGGCGACAGAGGCTTCGGCGGAGTCACCTGGGCTTCCTGGAGTAGAGGACACCGGACAGTGGAGACTGGACCAGAGCCACGGCTGGTACAGGGACCAAGGCCCAGACGGATCCCGGAAAACGCCTCCTCCCCCTCTCGGACTCCCACCTCCCACTCACCATTTCCCGCTTCTGGGTGTCCTGGCGTCTTAGCTGTGGGGCTCCCCGTACTTGCAGATCGCAGAGTGACAGAAGCTGTGGCAAAGTCACCTCGGCCTCCTGAAGAGCAGAAGGCGCAGCGGAGACACGAACCTAGCCCGGTGAGAGAGCGCCAGAGACAGAGGACCCCGCCAGATCCCGGAAGCCGCCCCCTCCTCTCCGGCTCCACGCCTAATTGGACAGTTCTCACGCTGCCGCTGCTGATTGGATAAGGCTTCCGGTCCCTCCCTCGTAGGGCTGAGTGACAGGCTATGCAGTCAGACTCTTGACTGAATGAGACAAGAGTGACAGGTTTTGGTCTGCACTCATTTTTAGGAAGGATTTTTTTCTTTTTATCTCCTGCATTGGGACTTGGGCCTGCCTGTAGGATATTTGTATTTAATCTTGTACATAAGATTATATCCATTATGAATTGCATGTGCACATACCTATATATACACACACATACACATACATAAATATATTATTCCCAAATGGAAACAATATAATTATTTTAAAATTTCAGATTTCATTATCTTCCAGGCCCCTGGTTTTCTGAGGAGGCAATCTAAGCTTTAAAAAGGAAAGCAATCCTCTCAAGCCGCAGTGTCCAATAAATATGTGAGCCACATGTGTCATTTTAAACTTTCTAGTAGCTACATAAAATAAAAATACCCGTAAAATTGATTTTAATAATTTACTTACAAAAAATAAAAAAACACCCGTAAAATTGATTGTAATAATTTATGTAACAAATTATTCAAAATGTTACTTTAATATGTAATTAATGTAAAGTTATTAATGAAGTATATTTTTGGTATTATACATTCAAAGCTCTATATTTTAAGCTTCCAGCACATCTCAGTAGCCCCGCTTGCCAGTGGATGTCACATCAAAATGCAGCTCTGAAGTCTCTGAATCCTCTGATCTCTGGGAGGAAAAAGGACTGACATTCCTCTTCTACCAGAGTTGAGGGAACACTGCCTTCTTATCAACATCTCTCCTCAAGTGGGAGAATGGTACACTTGAGAGCAGAGGCTGCAAGCGGAAAGTCTTAACAGGTAGACAACCGCTGCCTACCTGATACTTGGTGGGGGTTCATCCACCTTCCAGAAATCAGACAGTGAACAGACAATGATGGGAGGGAGGATCTCTCCACAGCCTTGACCATCACAATTTAGATGTAGAGGAAATATGACCATCACAATTTAGATGTAGAGGAAATAGATTAAAGGGAAAATTTTTATATTGCCATTTGGCCCACACATGCTCTGTTGCCTGATGTCTGGCATGAACTTTGACCTGTTGCTGCTGAGGAGTGACTTGAGTGATTTGAACTGTGACGCTGTTTCTTTGGCTGCAAATGTTTGTAAATTAAAATGCAGACTGCAAGCCGGGCTTGGTGGCTCAGCCTGTTATCCCGCACCTTTGGAGGCTAA